AAAGCTATTTATTTCGAGTACTTTCTAAAACTTCTCCTATCTCATCACACGCTCTACACTATTTTGAATAAATTTTAATTAAAACGTAGCAAAACTGGATAAATTTTTATTACGAAATATCTTTCTTAAAACAGGAAATATGTTGTTTGTTTCAAGAAATCACCTCACCTTCAATTTACTTTACAAATTTCCATTTAAAAAAGTTAAAATTTAGAGACAAGAATGGTCATAACCAAGTTACATATGTTTTTATCAGAAGAATTACGGTTATTATTGTTTTGCATTATTATTTTTATTATATATATATATATATATATATATATATATATATATATATATATATATATATATATATATATATATATATATATATATATATATATATATATATATATATATATATATATATATATATATATATATGTATATATATATGTATATATATATATTTTAGTGTTCAAAAATTAAAACCATATAAAGTTTTAACCCTCCTTATATGATGTTTAAAATAACCAAATTATAAACGACAAGATTATTCCAAATTTTATAATAAACATAGTTAATTAAAGAAATAATAACCGTAACTCTTCTGATAAAAACATATGTAACTTGGTAATGACAATTATTGTCTCTAAATTTTAAGTTTTCTAAATGGACATTTGTAAAGTAAATTTCAGGTAATGTGATTTCTTAAAACAAGCAACGTATGTATGTATATATATAGATACACACAGATGTAATTTTTCTTTTAATATTACTTTATATAAAATCTGTTTAATAATGTTTCTTGCTAGAGCAAACGTCTAGCCACTATTTGGAACTCATTAGATTATACGGTTTAATGCAATTCTTCGTTTTACATTTATATGATAACTAACTTTAGTATATTTTAGAACAAATACAATTCTCCAGAAAACAGACGTCTGTTTTTGAGAGAATTGTTTAGCTGATAGATATAAAAGTAACTGTTACGATTGGAAATTGCAGCAGCACAATGAGAGGTAATCATGGAAAAGACTGTGGCTTTACTTGGAATAGGCAAGAAGAAATAAAAGATTCTATGCCAGTCTGAATCCAAGAAGTTACAGAATAAGCACATTTTTCAACAGAAAGACGAAAGATTTCTACGCAAGAGCCATCACGAAGAAAATCACAGAAAGGGTACCAGTCACCTTTAAAATAGTTGTAATAGATAAGACGATACGGCGATTCTGACGATGAATAAGAATGAGATAGTAGTTTTAGAGAGATCAAACCGTGATTAGAACCACCTAAGGGTGAAGGTAAAGAAACTGAAGACTGACTGGGATCAAAAACATGGCATAAGTTGAGAAGGGAAATGATTCGAATGGTTTGGAAAGCGAGTAGGAAAGTTCACTATTTTTGTTAGAGATTGAGATGTCTATGTTAATATAAGTTTTTTTTTTAAATTTTAAACTGAGTGCTAGTTTTTGGGATTTGATATACACGTTTGGAATTAGAAACGTTTGTAATTAGCGTGTCCCTTATTCCAAACGAAAGCTTCTATTTTACATTTTAAAAAAGAACAACATTATTGATATACTTATTGCTTGATATTGTTTGATTCAGTTAAAGTTCCAGTTTATTTATTTCAAAAAATTAACTTTAAAATCCAAAACAAAGAGAAAAAACTTTTTTCTTTAACTGTTAATAAAGTAAAATTTAATGAAAACAAAAGAATAATTTTTGATTCTTGAAAAATAATCAGTTTTTAATAAAATATAGTAAATAGTAAACTTACGTGAAGGACAGTTTTGTTACGTGACGGACGCGTACAAACATAAGAATTAAAAATAGTTATTTGCAAAAGAACACTTGATCTTCGCCATCTAAATCGTGCTTTTTAGCTCGTATTGTATTCAAATCACAAGATATTATATGAAAATTTGATATGCCGGTAATTGGAATGACATCTTGCCATGGTCTGAAAGTGTCATTCTGCGATTTAATATCTTCTTCAGAAATGTAAATAATTTTAGTAGAAGTTACTAGTTGTGACGCTAATTCAGCAAAATCCTTAGCAGATTGAACTTCAACATCTGATTGAGATAGCATTTTTTGTTTTACAAGTCTTTTGATATTTCCTCCCACACCGTCAACCACACCTTTCCCATGAGAAGTTGATATATATTTCCAAGTAAATTGCTGATTGTATGCTGTACTCAAATAACTAAGGAACTTAACCATGTATTTGTTTTTAAATTCTGATGAGGGACCGTCGCTCCAGATGACATTTTGGACGTGCTCATCAGAATTTTGATCTTTAATTAGAGAATATAAATGTTTGATAAATACAAAAACTGTATCCTTGTCTTTATTGTGACTATTAGAACAAATCAAATAGGTTTTGCAAATTCCTTTATAAAAAACCGCCGCTGTAAATAAAAAAACGCTAGTTCTTGACCACAATGCAGATTGAATCTCATTCTGGTACTCTGTTGCAAATGACATGGCGAAGTCCATTTGTAAAACTTGTAAGCTAGTTGAACCTTTGTCCTTATCAAATGCTGCACTTTGGATTCTTTTTAGATTGATGTGATTCTAAAATTGTGGGTAGTCTACTTTGAGTCGATCAAAAAGTTCACCTGTACTCGACTCTCGCAAGGTTAGCTGCAATCGACCTCCTTCACCTTTATTCCATTCTTTAAAAAAAAAGTTGGGATAAAGATGAAGGAGGTTTTATTGAAAGAATGGGATAAAATCCCATACTTTTAATAAAACCACGTTTTCCGGTCGCAGTTTGTAAAGCCGATTTTTAAATCTGAATTTTCTTCCTTAAACATAAAAAATGCTTCTCGAAGAAAAACAGTCAGATAAAACTTTTACAATGTCTCTTTTTTACCTGACTTCCACGAAACCATGGTATCTTTCATCCCAGGAGCAGTGTAAACTATATCTGGACGGAAATAGAAGCTTTTGACTTTTTCAATTAAGATATCATCTTGACCACATGTGGAATTTCTGTGAGAAAAATCATTGATCTTGACACTATACTTGTCCACTAAGCCGCTAATAATAGAATTCCGTTTGTTTGGTGATGTAGATAAGCTCAATAGTGCTTTTGCATAAGTCTGTGGGAATTTATATGGATAGTAGAAATTTAATGGCGGAAATTCTGATGTACTTGGATCAGGTGTTTCATTTTCTAACCGCTTTCTTTCTCTCTGTTTTCTTTTTTGATCCCTTTCATATTCTCGTATTGTTTTTAGTTCAGTTTGACTTATATTTCGTCTCTTATTTTTCTTAATGGCATTTGTTCTAGCATTTTCTCTCTTCTGAAATTCTTCGCCTTCGGCTTTCTTTTTCATGCGATATTTTTGCACTCTGCTAGCATTACCTTCTTTACTTGTACTCAACATTATTCTCTTTTGGATATAAAAAATGTTTTAAACTCAGAATGTTCACTAATTAAAAATTATTTTAACACTTGGACACAGTATTACGTGAAGGACAAGATATAAAAATTGAAGTCAACAAGCAAATAGAATCACAACCTTCGAACTGATTGCAGTATATAAACGTATCCGATGACCTTTCTTTGTTAACAAAGTATTAAAAGTGGAATGTCGGTGGTTTTTTTATTAATAAACTTTGTTTACGTTTTGCATGTCGTGAATGACAGCCAAATCGCCATTTTTAACAAATGGATGTTTAACAAATTAAACTAACCTATCAAAGAAATAGTATAATAGCATTATTTACCATGAACTTTTTTAATAAAATAATTAACAAAATGACCTTGAATCATAGGCGTGGACTTTGATATTTAGAGAGAACAAACTTTTTCTATTAAAGCTATTTGTCAATGTGATTTTATAACAAATACAGTTTTAATTTTTTCAACCGTGTTAATCAAAAATCTTTGAACTTTTTTGTGAACAATATCGCGCAATGTTCTGTAAATAATGTCAGCAATTTGAGAGCAAAAATATGTATTTTAAATTTTATGCTTAAGTTCCCATTTTTTCCGAAATGCTCCACTATATGATGTTACTATTTCTTATATTGTGGCTGTCCAATACTGGAGATATCCATCAAACTGCTTTTATATCACTTAAAGTGAATGGTTGTTTTGTAATAACAGATTTTAGCATACTTTTAACATAAAAAATACTTTGAAGCAATATTAAACCTTAAAAGCATAAAATTTATAAAGGAATTTAACTGATAAATTTTCAACAAAAACAGATTTTAAATAGATTTAAAAAAATAGATATTTGTAATAAATAAAAAATTAATAACAAATCTTAAAACAAGAGTATTTAGTTTCTTTTAAAATCTTATACAAAAAAACTAAATGACTCAAAAAGACTTTTTAGATTTCGAATTTTGAAAAACTTAATTTAAAATTGGTTCTAACTATTTTTGCATAATTATTTGACAAAAATGCATTTTTTTACATTCTTTTTATGCCCATATAAACAATAACGTGTTGATTAGGAAACCTGTAACATATGTGAGATTGTAACATATGTAACATATAAGAGAGTGAGAACCCTGTAATATATTCGGTTAAGTAGGCAGTAGTAGGATTTTTTCTAAAAACAGATTTGAAGACGACTATGGAGAATGTAGATTTTAAAACAATTTTTGTTAAGTTTTTTTATTACAAAACCTTTCCTATATTCAGTATGATGCATGGAGCCCAGTGCGTTAAATATACATGGTTAAATACAAAGAGTAATATTTATAGGCTAACTCTTTAGGCAATATGTTTTTACATAAAAGCGTATTGCATAAAGAAATACCCAATAAGTTTGCACTTTAAGTAAAAAATATAAGTTGTTTTAAAAGTTCTAAATGCTTAATTCTGAGTAATACCAGTTTGTTAGTTCCGACGGATTAGAAATTCCGACGGATTAGAAATTCCGACGGATTAGAAATAGAGTGTTATAAGATTTGTCTTTTTGAATTTATAATAGGTGAAAATAATTTAAAGTATTTTATTTTTTAGGAAAGTTAAATTAAATTAAAACAAATTAAATTTAGACCAATAAACAAAATAATGGATAACAAAAAGTTTAAAAAAAGAATTTAAAGTTTTTGATATCCACGACCACTACGTCTTCTACCGATTAAATACCCGATAAGAACAATAACAATAAGACCGGCTAACGCTCCACCGACAGCTATAGGTACAATACTACTTGATTCTACTGGCGATACAGGTTTAGAACAATACGTTTCTAAAAAAAAAAGGTCAAATACTGATTATCAGTTAATAGTTGCTTTTTTTAAAATAAAGAAAAAATAAATAAATAAAAGTAAATAAACAAAAGTAAATAAACAAAATGTTTTTAGGTTTCTTTTAAAAATAAAAAAAATAAGATTGTACTGTCGCTCTGATATTGTATTTGGGTAATTCCATGTCAAAACAACAAGTCGAAATAACCCACCATCTTAGAAATACTTGATTTTTGGCACAAATGCAGTTAATTATGTCGTTAGTAATAATCATAAATAATTTGGAGTCGATTTCATTATTTTAATAGTTATGGGTCTTTGAAGTTTAAGAATTTTAAAATTTTTTTATTCTCCGCTCTCTTAGCAACGTCTATAGCAACACTAAAATGTTAAAGTATACACAGTTACATTAACCATTCGTTTACAAAATTTAATAGGTATAGAAATTTTTGAATAAAGAAATCAAAAATCATTACTTAAAGTTATTAGATCTTATATTTGATTAAAAACTTTGAAATGCAAACCGGGTTTTTAACAATAATTTTTTAGTAAACAAGTCTAGTTTAAGATTTATTGCAGAAAATTGATCTATTCACTTTAAATCTTTACAAAAATAGTTTATATATAAATGCCTGTAAGAGGTAAAAATTATTTCATTGTTTTTTGCTGCACATATCTATTTTATTATTGTTTTATTTTTGCAATTTTATTTTTGCATTTATATTTACCGTTTTGGTTATAATCTCCATTTAAAGATTATAACTAAAACAATTTCTCACAAAAAAATAATGATTTCTCACATGAGTGTTGTACTCAAATGTTAGAACCAGTTGCTCTGTTTAATTAATTAAACAAGAAACCAAAAATTCATTTTTATTTTAAACTAAATAAGTCTAATCATATGATTACAGTTATTTAGTTTAAAATAAAAATTAATTTCTGATTTCTCCTTGTATTAATTATAATTGCATGAGTATTATAATCAAAATTCAAATAACATTTGAATTTTGATTATAATACTCGTGCAAGAATTTATTATTTATTTAATAATAGTTTTAGAAAAATAAAATATTAAAATTAAATATTTTTATAATGGCTGGAACATCACAATGCTCAATTGGGTTGATTTTAAAATCAAATTGTCACAAGTTAACATTTACAAATCACATTGGAATAAACTTTTTTTCAAGATTTAGCTCCAGATGAGCAAAATTTAGTTGCGCTAAGGTCTGGTGTTTCTTCTGTTTTGATTATTGACTTATGTTTTCATCATCAAAAGTTCTATCTTGAGAAGTTCCCTGTGTTTTAGAATAAATGCTGTGATCCACTGTTAGTTTACAAAAGACAGTGCAAAGGTTAGTAAAGCTTGTCATAAATTTTATAATTGTAAATTTGTCATAATTTTAAGTTCTTTATGTTTGTTAATAGTAGGCACATTTTACTTTATTAAGTTTTATTTTTTAATTTAGCATCTCTCAGAGAAGTCACGTTAAGAACCATAGCTTTAAACAACAGGATCAATATTGTACCTGGTCAAAATATTTGTACAAATTGCTTAGTCAAATTAAAAGCTTCCACTGAAATTAATACTGATAACATTAATATTGCTGATGATTACACAAATGAAAGTATAAACAAAGAAAACATATTTAGTGTTCCACAAGAAGCTGATATAAATAAAAATAGACAAGAACTTTCTGATTGTCTCAGTATAATTGGTGTGTCACCAGTCAAGCTTCACGGAAAGCCATTTGAAAATATTATGAGTATTGGGGAAAAAAACACTAAAACTTTTGCAAAAGTTTTCAAAGTTCTTCAAAAATTCCATTGACAGAAGTTGAAGTTTTTGATAATGAATATGTTCTTGATTTAAAAAAAAAAGTTGTTCAGTTCGAAAAAATGTTAGTTTTGATCAAAGATAAACTTGAAAAATGCAGTTCATTTAGGGGCAAAATTCAAGTATTGACTTTTGCCTACAAGAATGGTCAATTGAAGCAGCTAGTGAGTATTTTAGTGTTTCAAATTGTCTAATAATAAAATCTAGATCTTTAGCAAAGAAGGAAGGAGTTCTTGCAGTTCCACAAACTAAGCGAGGTAAAATGCTCCCTGATCAAATAAATACTTTAGTGAAAAATTATTATGAAAATGATGAAAACTCTCGCCAGATGCCTGGTCAAAAGGATTTTGTAAGTGTTAGTTGGAAAGTCCATATGCAAAAGCGACTACTTTTGTCAAGCTTAAAAGAGTTATTTGTCTCATTTAAAATTCTATATCCACATGTAAAGTTAGGTTTTTCCAAGTTTTGTGTTTTAAGACCTAAATGGTGTGTTTTGCCAAACTCATCAGGAACCCAAACAGCGTGCGTTTGTATCTACCATCAAAACATGAAGTTAATTCTCCTACCCATTAAAATTGATTAACACGAACTATATAAATTTATTGTTTGTGATATGCAAAACAAAGAATGCATGTTACATCGATGTACACAATGTCCGAAAAATACATCTAAATTAGAAGAAAAGCTATTCAAACTAATAGGGCAGTTTGAGGAAGAAGATACTATCGAATTTAACCAATGGGTTACTACTGATAGATCAGATTTAGTTATACAGCTTGTAACCATACCAGATTATGTAAATATGGTGATGGAAAAACTAGTCAAGCTAACAACGCATTCATATATTTCTAAATGCCAATCTAAATATTTAAAAAATCTTAAAGAAGAACTGCCATCAAGTAGTGCAATAATTCTAGGAGATTTTGCAGAAAACTATAGTTTTGTTGTGCAGTATAAAGTACAAGGTTTCCACTGAAATAATCTTCAATGCACACTTCATCCAGTGGTTGTGTACTATAAAAAAAATCAAGTGTTGCATTCCACTTCATATTGCATTATATCAGATGATTACACTCATGATATACCAATGGTTTACGAGGTACAAAAATCAATTATCAATAATCTGAAGCAAAAAATACCCAGCATTGTAAACGTGGTCTACTTTTCTGATGGCTGTTCATCTCAATATAAAAACTGCAAAAATATATTTAACCTATGTCAGCATAAATCAGACTTTGGAATAGATGCAAAATGGGTTTTCTTTGCAACCAGCCATGGAAAGCAACCTTGTGATGGTATAGGAGGAACAGTTAAACGGCTTGTAACTAATGCTAGTTTGCAGAGAATTTCTACAAACCAAATATTAAACTCACGTGATATGTTTACATATTGCACTAACAACATCAAAGGTATAAACTTTATTTTTATTTCAAGTGAAAGTTTGATAGAAACAAGATTATTACAATCTGAACGATTTAAAAATGTAAAACCAATACCAGGCACAAGAGACTTTCATGAATTTATTCCTGTATGTTATAATGAAGTTAAGATGAAATACTGCAGTGATGACACTATCCCTATCTTGACCTACAAGTTTAAAAAATGCGAGATGCATAGTGATGTGCAAAGTTGACATGGAATTTTAATTTATGCACCAACATGGCCCTTGAATCTTAAAGACATTTTCTTGCTTCCTTTTATCAATTATTACTTCGAATCGAGAGTTTGCTTATGTCTATGATATGTATATGACAATATTTTGCATTTATTAAGAAATATTACCTAATTTTGTTTTGTTTTACAGTCCAAAGAAAAACAAAGGAATATTTGAAGTTCAATAATTTGTATAAAAATTTATCAATTCATAAAAACACAAACAATTCAAAGAGTTGATGTGTTTTTATATTTAAAATTGAGTTTATTTATGGACATGTCATGGATATTGCAGTTTTATACCTAAGTGAAAATACCTCTTATTTTTTGACTAGCTTTGAGTAAAAATACCTGTTTTTAGTATTTAAATATTTTTAATTGAGTTTATTAAATATGCATATTGTAGTTTTACACATAAGAATTCTTACTTTCTAGTTGTGCCTAAACATACAGTACCAATCAATCTTCTGTCTCAATCTCAATATACTTTCAATCAAAAATAAAAATTAAATTGTTTACATTAGTAAGTCAAAAAACAGCTCAGTTTTTTTTTTTTTTTTTTTTAGATGTTTATATATACTTTAAGATCATGAAGTTTGGAAATATATAGATAATAACCTTTTCTGTAATTCTTTTTATAGTAAGCATGTTTACTTTTCAATTTTATTAAAAACGCCGATTTACTCTTATTGACTTATTAATAAATAAATAAAAATACAATTTCTTGGTATAATTTTATAGTTTAGCCTCTAATAATATGTGGAAAATTTCAAATTATGAAACAATATAGTTAAGGTAACAACGTATGTATTAGCATTTACTTGTTACTAAGGACGTTGCTAGGGGAGCATCATGAGTAAAAATGTTACTAAGTTTTAAATTTTAAACGAGCATAACTTCTAAAATATTTAGATTTGTTTAAAACAACTTTGGGGAATTCTTTTTAGCCTAGTTAAGTATCTTTGTTGCAAAAATCAAGTCATTTAGAGATAGCGGGTTATATTTTTGAATTTTTGTTGTTGTTTTGACACGGAATAACCCATTTTTAAATTTTATTGGTAATTGCAACTTTTTTATTTAATGCATTTTTATATTACATATTTTATTTGAACTATTTATAAATATTTAAACAAAGTTGATATGAGATATTAAAATGAAAATAAAAAAAAATTAGGCAAATAAGATTTAAATAAAGCAAATGAGATTTAAATTAAGCAAATAAGATTTAAATTAAGCAAATGAGATTTAAATTAAGCAAATGAGGTTTAAATTCTCCTTTACTATTATTTGTTAATCGTATGTAATTGCCAATGAGAAAAATTTATAATCGTAATTTATAAACAATAATTATATGACTGCGAATAGAAGAAGACAATTATATCGTCTCATCTACATGTCCCGTAAAATTTTCGTCGTTTGTTAAAATAGTATATATAAATAGTATATATACAAAGATTTAACTTGTATTTTTATTTGTTTATTTGCTTTATTGTCGTATGTTTGTTAAAATAT